CAATTAAGTAAATATGGGGTGTTCGTGTTCGAAATAATTTTGGGCATATTCCAAATTGCAGTGAAAAAGATTTCGCTTAATCATTCCAGCTAAACCCATCAATCATCATCCTACCAACTAACTAATCTTCCAATTATTTGCACATATATACACACACATGCATACATATATATTGATATAGATATATAGATATATAGATATATATATATATGTATACATATATATCTATATATATATATATGGAAATTGTCTTGGAAATTGCAAAGAAGCAAAACGGAGAACCGAGAGAAATAAAGGGAAGGAAATGGGGAGAAGAGGAAGAGAACTGACTGAACAAAAGGAGACCGCCAAAGGCACCACCCAAGGAGGAGTAGACGAAGCGGCGGACGGTCAGATCGAGACAGGCGTCCCATTTGGCGTTCACGTCGTACGGCGGTGGGATGATTTCTTTGTTGTCCGCCATTGTAGCCACCTGAATTTTCTGCTTTGATTCTTTTCTTCTCTCTCTTCCTTCTCCTCCTCTTGCTTTCCGCCTTGGTTTTGAGATTTTGTGTGATTTGGTCGGGGCTGTGTCCGTCGTCCGTTTAGGTTTCACGCTGCATCCTTTTTGGGCTTTGGTTGCATAAGTACATGGGCCACTTCAAGCTCTTTTGGGTTCAAAAGAATTCGTTTAGAAGAATCATTAGATATGTACTTCTTGTGGAAAGCACTTAAAGTATTTTTTTAAGATTCACTTGAATTTTTACTAAGAATTGGTTCAAAAAAAATTTACACCAAAAACACTTTCAATTATTGTAAAAGCATTTCCAAACGAGTCCAAAGTTACTGAGCCCCAACAAAATTTCGCATCGTCTTTGTCGGAAATTTTGAATTCTTGAATTGTTGAAGCAATTTTCAAAACTTAGAAATCCCTATTTTCATAGCCATCCATTAAGAATCTATGGAATTGGAATCAGATTTGAAATATTGTTGAATTTGTAGAATTGGATCGGATGGAATTGGGTTTGTAAAGTTACTAAAGTTTTATGTAAGTGGATTTGTTGAGTTTTCTTTGTTCTTTTTCATTCAAGTTAAATTTTGTTGATATACATGGAACCATTTTCTCTGATTTATTTTATTTTTTATCAATAATACTTTGGTTAAGTGTAACGTGAAGTGTGTAAGTTAATAAGTCTAACTACTATTAGATTTAATTTAATGATTTCTATAAAAAGTCGTCACAAGTCCTCAAATGAAAATCTTACGTTAGCATCGTTGTATTTTTTTCAAACAATAAAATATGTGTTAAAATGTTATTAAACTAAAATCAAAATATAAGTGTTATGATTTTACTCGACGTCGTCTTCTTGCACAGAGAAAAGTAACAGGAAAAGGTAACTAGCAATATTTCATTCACGACTTCCTCCGTTTACAATCTCATTATTTATACATGTTGCACTGATTTCTAACTAACCAACCCTCCTTTCACCCAATTCCCAACTAATTCCCATTAATTCTCAACTAATCTTGCCACCTGAGACTCCTAACAATTACCCCCCTTGAAACCAAGCTTACATTTCACAACTCCAAAAGAAAAAATTTAGCAAAGAATTCAAAGATGAACTATTTCTGGAAACTTTAATCTCAACTCATGATAATTCTCCCAAGTTGCATCATCCTTTGAGTAGTTCTGTCATTGGACCAATGCTTCTATAGTTGCAGTATTGCCCTTCTTCACCATTCGCCTAGCTAGGATGGCAACAGGTACCTCTTGTAATATGCCATTGTCTGTGAGAACAGGTAAAGCAATTGTGGTTTGCACATTTTCTCCCAAATGCTTCTTTAAGCATGATACATAGAATACAGGGTGTAACTTAAAATGGTTTGCACATTTCCTTAGGCAAGGTCGAAATATGTCATTCATGAGACATTGGAAGATGGCTGGAGCATTTGTAAGACCAAAGGGCATGACCAAAAATTCATTATGGCCATCATGTATTCTAAAGGCTGTTTGCTTCACATCTTGAGGGTGCATTCTTATTTGGTGATAACCTGCCCTTAAATCTAACTTTGAGAAAAATTGTGCACCAAATAACACATCAAGCAGTTCATCAATACGAGGAATAGGGAACTTATCTTTGACTGTGATATTATTAAGCCCTCTATAATCCATGCACATCCTCCATGTCCCCTTATTCTTTCGAACTAGGATCACAGGAGAAGAATAAGGGCTATTACTTACCCTTATGAACCCAACTGCTAAAAGTTCCCTCACACACATTTCAATTTCAGTTTTTTGCACAGGACCATACTTATAGGGCCTGCTATTTGGTGGAACACTGCCCTCTACCAAAGGAATTATGTGGTCTTGACTTCGATGAGGAGGAAGAGCACTTGGTGTTAGAAATATGCCTTCAAACTTTGCCAACAATTCATTCAATTCTAGTTGCTGTTGATCTGTGAGATTCTTAGAAATAGAGTTGGCAATATGTGATGCCATGTGCTGCACATTGGGTTTAATTTCCAATTGATAAAGTACTGCACCTACAGTGGTTTCTTGTTGTAACAATTTCTGCATTTGTAAAGCTGAGATATCCTCAAAACTGTTACTAACATTAGCATTACTTGTGATGCAAAAAGTTCTGGAATCCCTGGGAAATTGCATGGACAGCTTATCAAAGTCCTAAAGAACAGAACCAATGTTCGCAGCCATTGGATCCCTAATACAATGTCACACCCCCCCCCAAGGAATAGCATACAAATCTGTAATGAACTAGAATTCCTGAATCTTAACAAAAACATGAGCTAAAGTGCCTTTATTAGCTACCTTGCCTCCATCAGCAATATTCACATTAAACAAGTGCTTAGTATCCAATTATTTTCATAGCCTTTTTACCAATCCCACATCCACAAAGTTATGGGAACTACCATAATCAATTAGTATAGTGGCTGGACAATTCTTGATCGAACCACAGACTTTCATAGTATTGATGAAAGGGGGGCAAGAGTACCAAATAATGCACAGGCAATTATTTCAAGTTCTTCAGTTTCTAACTTTTCATTCTCATCACCTATAGTATCTTGCACATCAATTAACAACAATTGCTTCTTCTCACAAGTATGACCCCTAACATATTTCTCCTTACAATGAAAACAAAGACCATTTCTTCGACAATGATCTACTTCCTCAGGTGTCAATCCTCCTAATATTACTAGGTTTCATCCGAGTCTCAGATGGTGCATTAGAATTGACAGATTGCAGTGGATATTGAAAATTGGGTTGAATTGAAAGGGTTTTAGAAAGAGTTTTCACCTTAAGATTTGCAATCTTAGCATCCAACTGCTGAGCAAAAGCAGTAGCTTCCAGCACATCTCGAGGCCTTAAAATCTTCACATTGTGTCGTAGCTCTAGTTTCAAGCCTCCCACAAAGCACGATTTCAACAGTGCAGGACTGATGTCCCTCGTCCAATTAGCCAGTTGCCGGAATTCTATCACATAATCCCTCAAAGTCCCTGTCTGCTTCAAATTAACCAAACTTTCTGCAGAATCATCCAACTCTGAAGGACCAAATTCCTGGCATAAGACCCGTGTGAAATCATGCCAATCTGAGTAGTTTTCCAAACACCTCGCTCATTTGAACCACTACAGTGCATCTTTTTCCATGTGAAAGGATGCCATCTTGACTTTCTTGGATTCTTCGATATTGAAAAAGTCGAAGTAGTGCTTCGCCTTGTAAACCCACTCCATTGGATCATCGGACTCATTGAATCTTGGACAATCCATCTTCAAAAATGGAGGTCGAGAGAGACAGGGTCGTCTCTGACATTTTGGGGGCCATGTGTGGATTTAATAAAAAGACCCTCCTTATTTAAAAAAAAAAAAATGTTGTTGGACAATATATCCATACAAAGCTCAACAATCAATATCCAAACTTAATTGAAATCAGCATCCCACTTACTAATTGAATAATCTCCAAAATAAAGTCATGATTTGGGTTCATCTTTAAAAAAAATGGAGCACAGCTGAAATAGAGATATGAAAATACATTTGTATTTGTGGAAAAAAGTAATACACAAGTTAGTTTTTTATTGCTTAATAGAAAAGTGGAAGAAAGTTGTACACAAGTTTTTCATTATTAAAAATAAGAAGAAAATTAATATATTTAGTTCAAGCTTCGCTTAACCAAGTGTAATGATAATGATTTTTCTTTTCCGCTTAAAACTTTTTTTATTAGAAATTTATACTAATGTGTAATATAAGGGAGGATCAAAAAATTTGGGGCCCCTAAAAAATTCGGGGCCATGTGCCACTGCACCTTTTGCACGCCCCCAACACCCCATTTGGAGAGAGATTATTGAAGTTATGCCCTGAATCTTGACGATTGGGGTCAAGGTGCAACCTTTATTGAATCTGGGGATTTCTGTGTGTGTCACCTCAGACGAATCGTCCACAATCCCGCAATTCAATCGCGTCATGATCGATTGCAGCTGTAGCATCATTTGATCCTGATTCGTCTTGAGATTCGACTGAATCGATGGAAACTCCTCATTCGATTTCTTGAATTCGTCGAACTTATCTTCCAAGCTTGATACTTTGGACTCCATAGATTTCCTCGAAGCTTGCCGCGTCATGCAACATAGAAGGATTGAGAGAGCGGAACGACTGGCTCAATACCAATTGTTACGATCTTACTCGACGTCTTCTTCTTGCACAAAGAAAAGTAACAGGAAAAGGTAACTAGCAATATTTCATTCACGACTTCCTCCGTTTACAATCTCACTATTTATACATGTTGTACTAATTTCTAAGTAACCAACCCTCCTTTCACCCAATTCTCAACTAATTCTCGTTAATTCTCAACTAATCTTGCCATCTGTCGGAGACTCCTAAGTAACAATAAGTACTTAAGTATTATCCGGCTTTGTTGGGCGCAGGATTCCATATTGAACTGAGGCAGCCGTCCTGAAGGTGCAACTGACAAAACCAAACAAAACCAAACAAAAACTTAACATTTTTTTTTAATTTTTGGTTAAAGAATATATTTCGTTAGATTAGTAGCCTCATACAAAAACTTAACATTTTTTCAGTGTGAAAGGGTTGCACGTTCCGTTTCTTTTTCTCTCACTTTACTCCTTCCAGTGTCATCAATACATCTTCCTTCTGCTTCTTAACAGTAAGCCCACCAAACTCCTCCTTCCCATTTCCTTCTCCAAAAATGGCCGACGAAATCCCCATACCACCACCACCATCAGACCAAGCGCCGCCGCCAGGGCCTCCTGCCGCTTCCGAGGCTGAATCACAGGCTTTGACGGTAGCAGAGTCTAAAGAAGACGCGCCCCCACCACCACCGCTGCCAGAAGTGGCAGAGTCTGGGAAAGAAGAGGCACTTGCACTACCACCAGTGGCGGCGGCAGCGGTGGAAGAGGCGGATAAAAAGCAGATTCCTCCATCTTTGATTTCGTTCAAGGAGGAGAGTAACGTAGTGGCCGATCTCTCAGATTCAGAGAGGAAAGCTCTTCAAGAACTGAAGCAGCTCGTCCAGGAAGCTCTCAACACTCACCAGTTCACGTCCCCAAAAACTAAACCGCAACCAGCACAGGTTTCCGAATCGGAATCAGAACCAAAACCAACTCATGAACCCAAAATGGAAGAGCAGCCACTGATCGAAGCAGAGGAATTAGCTAAAGAAACAACAGTACCGGGGGTGGAGGCGGCGGAGGAAGTTTCCATTTGGGGAGTCCCTCTTCTCAAGGACGAGAGGAGCGATGTCATTCTTCTCAAGTTCCTGAGGGCGAGGGACTTGAAGGTGAAGGATGCCTTTGTCATGCTCCGCAACACCATTCAATGGCGGAAAGAGTTCGGGATCGGCGCTCTTGTGGAGGAGGATCTCGGTGATGATTTGGAGAAGGTGGTGTTTGTTCATGGGTACGATAGGGACGGTCACCCTGTGTGTTACAATGTGTTCGGGGAGTTTCAGAACAAAGAATTGTACCAAAAAACATTCTCGGATGAGGAAAAGCGAACCAAGTTTCTCCGGTGGCGGGTTCAGTTCTTGGAGAAGGGTATTCGAAAGCTTGATCTCACTCCTGCTGGTATTTCTAGTATTTTTCAGGTCAATGATCTCAAGAATTCACCTGGACCCGCAAAGAAGGAACTTCGATTGGCCACCAAACAGGCCCTTCACTTGCTCCAGGACAATTATCCCGAATTCGTAGCCAAACAGGTGTTACTTAATAAACTTGATTGTTTGTTTCTCGATTTGTTATCTCTGCATTTTCGACATCTCTGTGTCGAATGTCGAATGCTGAATGCTGATATTTGTTCGGTTGGTTTGGCTGTGGATAAATCTTGTTAATGAAGGTGTTTATCAATGCTCCTTGGTGGTATCTTGCATTCTACACCATGATCAGTCCGTTCTTGACGCCGAGGACGAAAAGCAAGTTTGTTGTTGCAAGCCCAGCCAAAACCGCAGAAACCCTTTTCAAGTTAGTAGGATTAGTCTCTATCGTCTATCATCTTATGTGCCAAAATTCTCATCCGAAACCAACAACGCTTACTTTCTCATATATGTTTTTGGTTTGTCTTTGGCGTATAATGCAGGTACATCTCTCCTGAGCATGTTCCGATTCAGTATGGTGGCTTGAGTGTCGATTACTGTGACTGCAACCCCGAGTTTACCATTGCGGATCCAGTTGCTGATGTTACAATTAAACCTGCAACAAAACAAACTGTGGAAATCATAATATATGAGGTTTGATTGCGATCTTTCTGTCTTTTTTCTCTACTTTTATTTGATCCATGAACTGTACATATGCATTGGCCAAGTGCTAAATTATTATCCATGGCTCATCGGTTTAATTCATTCGGAGTTGATAAATTGCAGAAGTGCACCATTGTGTGGGAGCTCCGTGTGGTCGGATGGGAGGTGAGCTATGGGGCTGAGTTTGTGCCCGAGGCCGAAAATGGATACACAATCATCATACAGAAAGCCACAAAGATGAGCCCAACCGATGAACCGGTGGTGAGTAACAGCTTCAAAGTTGGCGAACTGGGTAAAATACTACTCAAGATTGACAACCCAACCTCGAAAAAGAAAAGGCTTCTGTACAGGTTCAAGATCGAACCCCTCGATTACTCAGGAATTTAAATGAGGCTGCAGCACTTTAAACATATGTTATGCAATGTGCACTTTGGGCAGGCTGCATCATACTTGTTTTTATTCCTTTTAAAAAAAGGGACTAGTTGATGGCTTCGCCGCGCCAGTCCACTTTTCTTAGGGCCGGAAAAACTCATAGTGGCATTTTATCCTCCCCTGACAGCATACTTGTTTATCATCATCCTTTTTGTGTTGTATTTTGTAAATTGGGTTTTCTAGTTACTAAAATTTATTTTTTCCTTGTAATTTTGGGTAGCTTCTATATTCTAGTTTATGTTTTTCTGTTTAGAGTTGAACACTCGGAAACAAAAATTATAATTATATTGGGAAGAAGGCCAACAAATTTGAGAAAATGTACTGCTTTGGTAATCATTTTGCACAATTTCCTTCTTATTTTTAATGGGTTTTCAAGGAATGAGTCTTACGGACTTGGCTACAATACATTCATGTACCGAGTACAATTTCCTATTATCAGTCATATATATGTTGTAATGACATTGGACGACCATATCTGACTGTTAACTGGTGATATAAACAACCACATATGGAAGTTTTACAAGTTGAATCATGAATTCCAAGCCAACATAATACTACTCTTTATCAAACAAAGCAATAAAAGCAAAAACTCAATTAAGGGATCCATAACAATTAAAAACAAGACAATGAAAATCTTTATTGGACTGGGATGGAGTTCTCATTCTAATAGACACCCTTCTCATGAATGAATCATTGTCATTAGATGACGATTATGATTAAGTCACGTCAACATCTTATATTGAAAAGAAAACCATTTCTCAAACGAATTTGTTGTTGACCATCTATTGATGGTTTAAGGCATAGCGTGCTCTCTTGCTTGGGCTTCCTCAATGGGAAAATCGTACCGAAAAATTGCTCTATCCAAAGACCAATGATGGAAGACCGGATCAACAATAATTTTCTCCAATCCAACCATATTCTCTATTAGGAACTTCACATATTGAGTGACACAAGGTGGAGGACGGTACCCTATTATTTCTACCACCTTGAAGTAATTATTCTGGGAGGGGCATTTGTCAGGTATATCTAATTTTTCTCCTTCTCCTACGTTACGCCATCTCGCACTTTGCCATCTCGGCCTTGCTTCAACACAAGTCTCTCCAAGTAAGGACACGCCTTCATGGAAGAAGCTAACCAACAGAGACTCCGGTAATGCCGTGGAACAAATTCTAACTTCAATTGTCTGAGACTTGTTAAGGTAGGAAACGTACGATTCTGAAGGTAGAGATTCTCACAGTAGACAGCTCCATTGGTCTCCAATTCGAGAATCTCTAGTTGAGAAAGACAGCAAGAAAGTTCGTCAAAAGGAAGCGTTAAGGGGGGTATGAGACGATGACCGTAACCCCTTTCTACTGGACAAACGGACATGGATATGTCAACAAGCCAGGTTTATAGAACCACCACGATAATAGAACGAAACAAGGTTCACATCATGAATCTCAATGCTTTTGAGTTCAAGACGAGATTCAATAGCTAGATACTTCAAGGCAACCTTGGGCCGACAACTCTTAGATCAACCAAATTGTTGGTAGTGTAACTCACAGATAGGCGCTCGAGAACGGGACAATTGGATATCAAGTACTCAAGCATTTCTTGAGTCACAGAAACCTTGCAGAGGCTAAAAACTTTGAGAGATTCAAATCCAATACTGTATCGACTTGGATTTTCAGGATGCGAGTGCTCGAGCTTCGACGTACACACTTGTCCAAGACCTAATAGTTTCTCTGGGAATGTATAGTAGTATTCCATCTCAGGCCGTGTGGAAAAAAAAAATCCAGCTCGAGTATTTCAACTCTCTTATTCATTGCAAATTCAATGCATTCATCAATGGAGCTTGTGAAAATATCATCTAACTCAAAGCAAGCTCTCTGAATCGAAAGATGGTTGTGCCTTCATGTTGATCCATCACACTATTTACCCAATCGACGTAGCTACGGGCTTGTTTTTTTCTTTGTTTTGGTGAGAATGTATGGAGCCGGAGACAAGGGTTAGCATTGAATCCCGAATCAAAGACGAGATTCATAGTGGACGCCCACACATAGCGCCATCGCCGAGAAAGGATACTAGTAGATGTTGCTTCCTTTAGCGGGAGAAGAGACAACATACTAACAAGAAGTTCATCTGGCAACAAACTGATTCTGTCCAACGAGTTGTAATCACCCTCATTTTTCCCTTTCCTTCCCACGTAGTAGTTTTTTTTCCTGTCTTGTGGCCGACGTCTCCTTCCCAAGTTGTACACATACCTCTTCTTGAACTGGACAAATTGAGAGGTTGGGCGAATTCTCTTCTTCATTATATTTATTTATCTCACGGTACGGCGGATGTGTTGAGAGCATGTGACAGCGGTTGGAGGTTTATGGTTGATCTCACAATTACCTGAATTCTAACCAAATTTCAGGATTTGTTCAAACAAGGAGGAGAACATATATGACGGAGTTTTGTAAACCCTAATTCTAATATATGTATGTATGTATGTTTGTATGTATGTATGTATGTATATTGTTGATCTACAAAGACAATCATGCAAGGAGAAGGAAACTCAATCATGCATACAAGGAGAAGGAAACTCGATCATACAAGGAAAAGGAAAACAAATATTATATCTACGTGCATCGAAGAGTTCATATTGGATTGGGACGGAGTTCTTATTCTAAGATGATTGTTTGATTCGCATAGCTTCTTAATGTGGTCGGAATTGGTACTAGAACAAAAAAAGTTTACCAGAACTGAAATATTTAATAAAAATAATTTTGAGATTGAGCAAACTCATCATTTTAGTCTCTCATTTTCAAAATCAATCAATATCGTCTCTGACATTCATTACCGCATATCAATTTGGTCATTCTATTTACATTCACTTTCAAAATCAATCAATGTCGTCGTTGACAATCACTATCGCACATCAATGTGGGACCCACAAATCCCATAAAATAGTGACACATGGATTACACAAAAGAAGGGTTTTTATCGCAAATGGTCTCTGATATTGATCAAACTCCTCATTTTAGTCCTTGAGTTTCAAAAATAGATAAATTTGGTTCCTAACTTTCATTACCGCACATTAATTTAGTCATTCCGTTAAAATTTCGTCAATATTTTTTATTAATGTGTTGATATGATCTCACTAATCCAATCATATGGCACCACGTGGATTAACTATAAGAATACAAATCTAATGGCCTAGAACTTGTGTCAAAAATGTGGTGCCATTGATCCACACCCCTATATAATACTATTATATTATATATTATACATATTATTCTGGTAGGATAGGACATACAAATTGAGGATCCCAATAATCATATCAAAGACCAAACTTATGGTTATTTGAGAGGCTTTGGCCGAAGATCCTCTGATGTCAAAATTAGAATTTGAGGGAAAAGTGTTTAGATAAATTTTCAGAATTTTGTGGATGGTTTTTTGGGTGTGATTCATAATTTGTTAGCTAATTAATAAATTAATTGAGTAATAAATAAGTTAATTAACTAATTAATATAATTTGAAATGAATGATTTGGGAGTTACCTTGTGGAGAAGATTTGATGAGGATTGATGAAATATGTTTTGAATAATTACCTATTTTGAGCACTTTTGACCTTGATTGAGTCATGATTGTCCACTGCTCGCGTGTAGGAGTTCCGGTATTCCTCGAGGGTAATTTTGTCCTTTTTACCCTAGAATCCACGGGTGGGCTCCATATTTTTCCCGATTATTTTTTGCTCCATAGATAGGATTTTTATCACCTGTAAAGTAGGGATAAAAACATTTAAAAATACTTACAAGAGAACACAGTAGTTGTAGTATAAACGACTCAAGCAAAGTAGTTCTCCACGGAGATTGAATGAATAATTTGTGTCAAAATCAAATCTTCAAGTTGATATTGAGCTCTTCACAACATAAGTTGGTCGGCTCGTAATAAAATTTCGCAACCTTAGACACATTTTAATGAGAGAGCATTAAAAAAAAAAACAATCACTAACACAAATTTGAAACATGATACTTATAGTCACATAAACGTCATTTTCTCTTACCACACTTGTAGTTTCAAGAAAAAAAAAAGATGATGAGAAGACATAATATCAAATGTGTTAAAAAAAAACATTCAAATTGAAGAAACTAAATTTAATCTTAGAAGAAGAAAAACGTAAACATAATTCCTTAAAAAGCAAAATTTCTAACAGAATATAACAGTTCAAGCGGATTTCTTGAGTAGTATTTAGTAAGTGGTGTCTCGAGAAAATTTACTAGTTGCTTTCGAGCTTTACAAACCCCAACCATATCTATAGCTAGCAACTGATGACAAAAAGAAGAAACTTGATTAAAACATATTAGGCTCAAACTGCATGAAAAATTTAAACGAGTTAAATTATCAGCAACAAAATAATTAACCTTAAAAGCCAATATTTTGAGAAGTTATGAGGAACCTATATGTGACGGCCCTTCAAACACCAATATCATATGCCACGTAATATAGTAGGCGGAGTACCTAGTAATTGATGATAAGTTTAAAAAGCAATAATGAATGATACATGCTTAATTAATTAATTAATTAAGGTGGTGGAGAAAATGATTACAAACCAAACATGGTGAGGGTCCCAGCCCCAGGGAAGGAATCAAACATCTATGGATTAAGCTGACAAGTAAAGACTAAAGTAATAAGATCATCACTAAAAGAGATGTCAAATATACAATATAGACATATAACAGTAATAAATAACGTATCATTTACTCTAATCGAGATATCAAAGCTGACATAGTAAAGAAAGCTAAACTAACATGGACAAAGAGATGTCAAATTTGAAGCTGCCTTCAAATATGGTTTTTGCTATTTTCAAAGGCATTCCACTTGCCTTACCTTAAATCCTAGCATATTTAAGTATTATTTTATTATTTTTAAGTGAGAGGTATTTATCTTCACTCATAAGCGAGAGGTCTTAGGTTCGATACTCGCCAAATGCGAGTTGGAACCATATTATTGCTAGCTCATTGTGAGGCTATGTCCACCCCTTCCCCTTTAGTGTAGATAATATATTTATATATATTATAAAATAAAATAATAAAAAAACCAACTCCCCAACTTTTATTATTTTTGTTTTTAAAAAACATAAATAAAAACATAAATTTTAGCATATCATTTGAAGAAAAATATTGACAATAAATTAAATTATCAAATCAACCATCAAATTAAAATTTGATGTTCTGAATTTGAAACTCATTTGGTGATCCTCTAAAGACCTTGGCTTTGCTTTCGTGCAAAAGTGATTGATTACTGCCTAAATTACTACCGACTCTCACCCTCTCACAATTTTTTCTTTTTAAAGTAAACTAAAATTT